AATGTACGGAGCTGCTTTTTGGTTATATATCTCTGTATTTTATGTTTTTAAGGATTAATCGCAAATAAAAATTATATTTTTTTATGCTTCATGTAATATTGAATATTGTAATATTGAATTCATTTAAACAAATGAATCAAATAATTCGTATCAAATTCTGCGTATAAAATAAAATAAACTATAACAAAGTATGTAAAACTTCAACAAAGGCCTATGGTGAGTCTGTTATGAGTAAAACAAGGGTTTACAAGTAGTATGGGCGTTTCCAAGATGGTTGTGAAAACGATGAAAACGGCGAACGCTCCGAAAACCACAGAAATGGTTATGAACGATCGCCGAATTACAATCAGTGAAATCGCCAATGATATTGGCACATTGATTGGTTTATATGCCATGAAATTTTTGAAAAACAACGGAGAATAGAAATGAAGTGGATGACGTTGCAGGATTACCGAATCGTGTTATAAAAGGTAACGAAACATGATTTAACGGATATTACGTCGAAACTGCTCCTGCACCAGCCTCCATATTTGCCAGACATAACTCCGTGTGACTTTTTCCCGTTTCCAGATAAAAGAGAACCTTGTTTCACAAGCATAGATGGCATTGGAAGCGCATTGCTGAAAGAGCTAACGCCATCCAAAATATCGAGTTTGGGAAGAGATTGGAAAAAGTCCTGTCACAAGTTCATAATATCTAATGGCGACTATTTTGAAAGTGACAACCCCAATGTAGATTAATAAATATTTTTTTCAAAAATGCCCGTTATTTTCTGAGCATACCTCCTATAATCTGCGAATATTTCACTGTTTTAGGAATATTAGTACATTTATTATATTGATATCATTTTATTTGCTTTCACCGGAATTCTTCATTATGAAATTCACATGATTTTTATGTTTTAGGGAGTGGTTGCCCAGAAGTTTCCGGTGGATATACTAGGGGATATTTTGCAGCTCCTACGAAGTAGTACCTCCAATCAAGCCGATCAAATAGCAAATGTTATCAGGAAATGGTCTAAAGAGAAACGTTTGAGTATCAATTGATCAATAAATTCATAATAATTTTTGTTCTAGTGCTACAAAGTTAAACTTGACTAACAAATAAATTTCTTTATCTATTAATGGAAATATCGATTATATTTATTCTAAGAAATCCTAATAACATTTTCACCTATTTCAATACATTATCTGACTCTCTGATTATATTATTATATTCCTAGATTACATTTCATTGATAAACAATTTTTATCTTATAATTTAACATAGGTTTTTCCGACCATTAACTTGATTTCAATGAACAGCAAACAGAAATTCTCAAAGGTCGAAACTTGTAAAAAATGAGAATAAACAATTTTGAAACCTTTGTTTTCTGATTTTATAAGTGAATCTCACTCAGAGTTCTGAAAAGGGCAACTTTTCAGCCTTCTTTTTCACAAAATAAACTATTTAAAAACACAAGCATTTATTCACTAGGTCACCTTTACACCTTATTCCTCCTTCTTTGATACTTTTCACTTCAACAATCAACATTTTTCCAATAAAAATGTTAAAAAATGTACGGAGCTGCTTTTTGGTTACATATCTCTGTATTTTATGTTTTTAAGGTTAATGGCAAGGTTGGTACGACTGATGCAGTCCATATTCCTGAAGTAATTAAAATGTTTTTTACCTTCATTCTTGAGATCGTAAATTGGTTTTTGGTGGTGTATTACGAATTTGAAATAATAGGCGACGACAAATACCAACCGCTTTTTTCTGAAATGTCACTAGTAACTAACCTAAAAATAGAATAAACATCAAAATACGTAAGTACAAGCAAACATTTTTTCAAAATCGCCGGGTGTCCTCAAAACGAAAATTTACCTTACGCAGTAACTTATCGGGGTAAACTAAAAAGTTGGCCCTTCTACACTTGTATAAAGTTCTCCATTATGATTTTTATATTTTTCAGATTGTGGAAGATAACAAATTCCCAAAAAAGGTCGATAAAAAAATGAATTTGTTTTTCATGAGTTACAAAAATGGCACGAAACTGTGTCAAATTCATTCAAAAAGAGATTTAAAACGTCAATTGAATATAGGTGATATTTGAAAATATGAATAACATAACAATCCAGGTAGGGAATGCAATCTCGCGAGATTGGATCTCGCCAGTTTCGAGATCTTGCAAGATTGGCCGATTTGTGTGTTTATTTTCCAAATAATAACGATATTTGAATGAATTAGAAAAAAATAATAAGAATTATAGGTATTATAAAATAAACTTTTTCTTTTACGAATTTTCTCAATAAACTTCTATGTAGTAGGTAAACACTGTATGATGTATATATCTATAAGTTTTTTAACTTTCAAAGCAAACTTTGACGTATTGCCCAGTAGGACTTAACAGCTGACAATTAACCTGCTACCTCTTGCCACAATGGTATTTGATTATTTTTCTTCCATCCGATGACTAAACCAAGATCTGGATCTTTCTTTTGTTTTTTTCTGATCATATTGTCCTCTCAGTTGTCGTCTATAGCTGTAGTTCTACAAATAGCTGCTTCCTTGTCTTCTGCTCGTTGGCAATGTGAGCAGTCATCGGGGCATGGTCTCCGTGACAGGGCATCTGCGTTTTTATGGCTCTTCCCAGCTCGATGTTCTATTTCGAAGTCGAATTCTTGAAGTCTCTCAATCCAGCGTGCTACTTGTCCCTCAGGATTTTTGAACTACAGAAGCCATTTGAGAGCTGCATGGTCCGTTCTCAACAGAAATCTTTTTCCATACACGTATTTGTAGAAATGTTCTACACCTTTGACAACGGCCAACAGCTCTCGCCTGGTGACACAATAATTGCGCTCTGGTTTACTGAGCGTTTTGCTGAAGTAGCCAATAACTTTCTCCTGTCCATCCTGGATCTGAGAAATGACTGCTCCAAGTCCCATGTTGCTGGCGTCCGTATCTAAAATGAACTTTCCGTCAGGTAGGGGATAGCTCAAAACAGGAGCGTTGATCAAAGCTCTTTTCAACTTCTTGAATGAGTCTTGGCATTCCTCAGACCACTGGAACTGGATCTGTCCTTCTGTGAGTCGGGTCAATAGTTTAGCGATGTTGGCAAACCCCAGCACATATCTGCGGTAGTAGGTGCATAAACCAAGGTAGCTCCGAAGCTGATGTATGCCTTTTGGAATGGGCCAATCCTTAACTGCTTTTGTTCGATTACCGCCACTCTTTCCCGAGAGACAACGTGGCCAAGGTAACGGACTTCTTTCTGGAACAGATGGCATTTCTTGGGACTCAGTTTCAATCAAGAACTCCTCAGACGCATGAATTCCTTCTCCAGATTTTTCAAGTGATCGTCGAACGATTTTCCGACCACGATTATATAGTCTAGATACACCAGACATGTCTTCCATGAGAGCCCCTTGAAAACCGTCTCCATCAAACTCTCGAAGACTGCTGGAGCATTACAAATCCCGAATGGCATAACCGTGAACTGCCACAATACTGAGCCGATGGTGAAAGCTGTCTTTTCTCTATCTTCTGGGGCCAATTCAACTTGCCAATATCCACTCTTCAAATCCAAAGTCGAGAAAATCGTGGAGCTGGCTAGCGTGTCTAGGGTGTCGTCGATTTTCGAAAGAGGGTGGCTGTCTTTCTTCGTCACGTTATTTAGCTGGCGATAATCCACGCAGAATCTTGTCGAGCCGTCCTTCTTCTTCACTAATACGACTGGAGAAGACCAGAAGGTCAGAAGGTTCGATGACTCCTTCTTTTTCCATGTCGCTGACTATCTTGTTTGCCTCTTCTTTCTTGGCCAGAGGGAGTCTTCTAGCTGATTGCCGGAGTGGTCGGGCATTCTCAGTGCCGATTCTATGCTAAACCACATTCGTTCTGCCGTCTTTTCCTTCTCCAATGTCGAAGATTTCCTGGTACTTCTTGACTAACTCCCTCAGTTTCGGTCGGTGAGTTGGTGGTATGTCCTTGGAGGAAATTCCAATCAACTCCTCTAACTCTTTAGGCAAGTTGTTGGCTTGGCTGACAGAACTGCGTACACTCCGTATCACAGAGGAAATGAACGAACAGTGCCCCAGCATTGTTCCTTTCTTCAAGGTCACGGGAAAGTAGTTGACATTCATGACTCTGACCGGCATAACTTCATCAACACGCAACAGGGTCTTCCCCAGGGGGTCCAAGCGAGCCTCCAGGATGGTTTCAGCCCTTTCGGGTACGCACACGTCTTCAGCCAACAGGACCCTGATCGTCTCTTCGCTTTTTCCATGAAGCACCAGCTCTTCTCCGCCAACACGTAGGACGCCGTCTTGAAGATTCAGCTCGAACCCTCTGGAATTCATTATGTCCGTTCAATGATCGCGTCGTCCTATATGTCCACCACCAATGCACGATGTTTCAATTTAGTGCTGCCCAACACCAATTCAATTGGTAGTTCTCCAAGTACAGTGGTTGTCTTCCCTGTAGCGGTGCATAGCTTCCAGCGTGACGGTTCAATTCTTGCCGGTGTTTTGCAAAGGTTGACCCAAGAATGGTTCTCATCGCACCTGTATCTAGCAGCGTGGTGCAAGGATCGTTGTTGATGAGGTCGTCTACGAAAACACCTTTGTCTTGTCGTTGGAGAACGGAAACATGCGTTTATTACGGCGGCTTGCTGGGTACAGGCCGACGATTGCCCCTTCTCATCGACCCCCTCTAGTTTTCCTGATTTGGTGTCGATTCTTTGAAAGCTGGACACTTGCTACGCAAGTCCAATTTTCTCACAGTTCCAGCATCTTATTTGTTTCCTCTCAGGCAACACTTCTTTCATTACTTTTCTGATGGTGACCTCAATATCAGCAGGCACTTTTCCATCTTCCTCGATAGCTCTAACTTTGCTCTGGCTCTTGCAGAATTGTTTTGCAGCCTCAAACTCCAGAGCGCTTGCCAGAGTTTGCTCTTTATTGAACACAAATCACCCCCAGAAACTTCGAAAAAATATGTTTCGGGATCTTCTCCTGATTCCGTCAAGTTATCCCACAGTCTCTTCTAGTGTACTGATTTCTTTCCGGAAGAATCTAGCTCTCTCTCCTCCAATTCTTGCTCAAATTCGGCGACTTTCAAGTCAACTAGGCGCACTTTCCTCGGACACATTTTATCTCTTATTGTCTATTTTCCACAAAACTGAAGACGGCCACTTATTTTAATCTAGTCCGAAACACTTACTTATTTTCACGAGTCTATTTTTCGCGAGAAAGGTATATCAGTTTATGTTTCCGTAGTCCGGTACTGTCCACTTCGCGAAACACAATGAATCACCAGTCTGTCTGCGCAAAAGTTTTATAGTCAATTTCACCGTAATACAAAGATTGTCCACCAAGCACTCACAAATATATTTTAAAAATCCACTTCTGATCACCAATTGTAACGAATTAAAGAATTAACGGTCTTAATCAATTTATTTTCAACAATATTTCACTATCAAAACTGATTTATATACAACACTTATACAACTAACGCTTAATTTATCTTCACAGTTCGAATTCTTTATCAAAACGCACGATTCACTTTCTAGATACAGACTACTGCTCGGAACGGGAAACGGCCTTATTTATATCGGCAACGAACGCTCCAGATCTCTTTAGGGGTTTCGGCACACATCTATGCCTTTCGCGGTGGTTCGTCGAGTGCATTCCTTTCGCGGTGAGTCATTGTTTATTCGCTGGCTGAGATATCGGTCAGGGCCGGCTTCAGATTCATTACAGTATATAATCAAATAAGAAATGAAATAAACGACCAGTCTTCTCTTCTAATATCAAACAAAGGTATTTCAATAATAAAACAGTTCTTTCATAACAAAACAATAAGGAATCAAAAACTGAAATGAAACTCATAATTTAAGTTGAGTTGAACTGAGATATTATTATCGATATAAGAAAACTATACCAACTCAGGGATCTGCTAGAAATTAGAGGTTGATTAACAAAATATACCATCCAAAGAAAGGTTTGTTCAGTTCACATCACACGCCATTATTACGAATTATTTTGAAAGTAGAATCGTCTGTTAAGGCCCTTTCGTATTCAATGCTAGTTGGAACCACAGATCTCAGGCAGTCATCCGCAAAGTCTAAAGTTCGCCTTTTGACCCCCTGAACTCATATAAATTAATGTCCTGTTTGATTAATGACTTTTCCAGCGAATCCATAGTTAGTTTTCTGTCTTTATACTAAAATTCCATGAGAGTAGGCACTAAATTCTCAGAAATAGTAT